ACAAGGCAGAAGAGTGGTAGGGGAAGGGGAGGGAGGGCGGGGGGGGCTTCCTCGCCAGGGGCCAAGGAGGTGAGGAAGGTTGTGGAGGGTGGGATGGGGGGGAGGGAGAGCGGGATTATACCCGCACATGTAAAGGCAGCGGAGAAGACGCTCAGTTTGAATTATCGATCTCGTGCATCCGTCGCGGGTTGTCAGGCCCCCCTTGTTGCTTTCTCCCGCCATCCCCCTCCCTGACCTTGAGCGCCTTGTCTTCACCACTCCCCTTCACAACCCTCCTTTTCATGTGTCCCTCCCTCCCTCCCCATCAATCGCGTCCTCTCTCCCCATCAACCGCGTCCTCCCTCCTCATCAACCGCACTGACGCCCCCAGCGACACCGGCGTCCTCACACCCGCAACCTCCCAAGCCCTTCCTCCCCCCCTTCCACACCCCCCCTTGCATGTCTCACCTCTCCTCGGTACCATGAGCAGGGGCAAGCACACCGTTTCCGCGTACTCCGCGCGCACTTTCACCCACTCCGCCTCCAGACCCTCGTCGTAAACCACGTAGGACGTGGCCGTCCGCAGCCGAGCACGCACGCCCCACCCAAAGGCCCTTTCCGCCTTCCCGCTTGCAACTTCTCTCTCAGACGGGCTGGAAGGAGGGATGGAGGGGGGAAGGGAGGGAGGGAGGGAAGCAGGGAGAGGGAAGGCCCCCGTGTCCACGTCGATTTCGAGAGGCTCGGCAGCTTTCGAGTCCGGGACCGTAGCCACCACCCCCTCCACGCCCAAACGCCGGACCAGCAAGTCGTACGCCGACCCAGCCGAGTTCGTCCTATTAATTTGCCGGAGGATGTGTCGGATGAAGGTACCCACCTCCTCTCCCAAAGCATGCGGGCACCCTGTGCTTCCCAGCTGCGCTTGCACCACGTGTTTCAACCAGGACAAGACGCGCATGTGCCCGCCGACGCCACCAGGCTTGTAGAGTGCGCCGTTGACTACCAGGCTGTCCCGCTCAATGTCCCTCATGCTCTGATGTTCGCTCTCATCGCTGCTTGTGCGGGCGGTGTCGCTCTGATAGCAGGAGGAGGGGGGCGAGACGGGGAGAGAAATGCACACGGGAAGGAGCTCGTGCCTTTCTAACAATGCCAAATACCGGTCCTTTGTCCCCCGATTCTCCTGTGCCGCCCCATCTTCTTCGACTTCATCCTGCTCCTCCCATAGGACAGCCATCAGGGGCCCGTCCTCCCCCCGCCATTTGCCCTCTTCATGCGTCGAGATCGATAGAGCCGTCGTCGCCTCAACCAAGGCTCGGATGGTGCTTCCATGCTCCGATTTCAGCGCCTGGACAAAGTGCTCGTCTACACTGTCAATGCCGGCAAAGTTGTAATTGCTGATTTTTTTTTGTAGGCATAGTTGCTGCTGAAAGAGCAGACACAGGGCCAAGTCACGTAGACTGGCATGGCATTCATCCGCCGAGAGGGTTGAAGGCTCAGGCGGCGGTTTTCGGGCAAGATCTTGCCTTATGTGCTCCATCGTGAGTACAGGGGCAGCCATTGTTTCTGATGTGTGCCTGGAGGGAGGGTGGGTTGAGCACCTGCTCCGTTAGATTGTTTTTTGCGAGCTTGTTACAGAGGGCCCGTTGCGGGGGGAAGCCAGGCGCTTGGCGAGTCAACGTCCCGTACGTGCTTCAACTCACCCTCCCTCGAAACTCTACCCATCTGGACAAAGGAAACCTCGGAAACGGAACTAGCACATCAGTTGGGCCTAAGAGGCGTCCGTAAGCTGTGCCTGCGGCTTCTCAGCACGTGGCTGGCGGGAAGACGCTGAGAAGCGCGTGGGGATTGATGGAGTTGCCTCGGGGGGGCCGCCGACAGCCATCAAGGAGAAAAGGTCGCATGGCACTAAATAATCTGCCGACGATGCCTCCCTTCGAATGCATTACAATCATTCTGGGCATGCTCTGCAGCTGTCTAGGTAGGTAATTTAGAACGACAGAGACGGACAAGATCTTGAAAAGCACAGGCTGCTGTGCGTCACTCCAACCATGGCACTTGCTTCTCAGAGAAATCATACGACTTTGCTTAAGGAAATACATGAGGTAGTTTTCTCATCTCGACACCAATAATAGTCTCACTTCAGGCTTTTGATGTGCCGCGCCCCCCTGTGCTGGGAAGTAAAGCTCAACCTCGTGCATGGCGCAGTTCCCCTGGCGGTCAGGGAATTACTAAACCTTTGATGATGACGCGCCGCTGGAACCCCCAAACGGTAGAAGGTAGCCATGAACCTCCACCTGTGGCAGCGTCTGTCCTACGCCTGAACGATCGCAACAGTAGCGACGACAAAGACCCTCTCGGTCGTTCAAATCACACGCTCTCTACCCCTCTCGACCGGACCCGCGCACCATGTCGCGACAAGAGTCAGCACGAGATGGAGTACTTCGACGGCGAACAGAGGCCAGGAATCTCCATGAAGCACGCGCGTGTGCTTCAAGGGATCGCCGTGCTTGGGCTGGTTGTGGGCGGCATCGTGCTTGTAGGGGCGACTGAGAACTTTCAGCACGCCCCCGAAACGGCGCTCTTGCTGCCTCCCTCGTACTCCTTTCAGAAGAGCTTGCTGGCCGGTGCAGCCGCGGGCGTGAGTCGAGGACTTTCTCGCATTGTCACCTTCCCATTGGATACCATCAAGACTAGGCAGCAGGCCGTTCTCCTTCGCCAACACTCCGAAGGAGAAGGTAGCCGGGGGGAGGGGCAGGGGGCGGAAGCGGCATCGAGAGAGGGGGATCGCTTCGAGGCGGTGGCAAACGCGCGAGCAACGTGAAGAAGGCAATCTCTTCGACGGCTTGCTGCCCATGCTGCTGATCGCCGGGCCCGCGAATGCCGCCTTCTTTGTCACCTACGACTACCTGGGAGCTTTGGCCACCGCCCTGGGGGCCTCGCCCAAAGGCCACCTCTTCATCGAGCTGGCCGCCTCCCTCTTGGCGTCCTTGCCGTCCAATTTGATCCGGATCCCCGCCGAGGTGACCAAGCAACGAGTGCAAGCTGGGCAGGCTCCGAAGGCTGTGGTGGCCGCAGCCACGATTTTGAAGACGGAGGGCCCGCTGGGCCTCTATGTCGGCGGAGGTGCGCATCTCCTTCGAGAGATTCCCTTCAATGCCGTCCAGTTCTTGGCCTACCGCAACCTCAAGGACGTTCTGGTGGCCACTCAGGGGGGGACGCCTGCCTCGGTTTCTGCGAAAGCCATTCTGGGGGCGGCGGCTGCGGGGCTCGCGAGCCTGTGCACACAGCCGCTTGACACGGTCAAGACTGCTCAAATGCTGAACGTGAAGAAAAGAAGAGCCTTGGAAGGGGAGCTGCGGGAAAAGGAAGAGGTTGAGGAGACGTACTGGGGGAGCGCGTCGCGAATCTATCGCTTGTTTGGCCTGCCAGGACTTTACTTGGGGTCGGCTCCCAGATTCTCCTTGTGCGCGGTGGGAGGTGCGTTCTATTTCTTTGCAAATGAGTGGGCAAAGAATGTCCTAAGCACAGGTGGTGTGCATTTCCCGGACATGTGGCCCAAGTAGTAGTCCGAGCGCTGCGGCGCAAGTTGACACAGAGGTGGGCTGCGGCAGGGGCGGCGGCTGGAGTGGTCGTTGACGGCACACGGTTGTAATTGTACAATACGGACATGTGTAGGCGATGTGTGTGAAAAAGAGGAGCGTAGGAGGCCTTTCCGAGAGGGTCATGTAAAAATGATTTGTCGGAACGCAAGAATTTCGATTGAGTCGTGCGGTGAACCAGAACTCACCCACAAGGTGCTTGCTGGAAACATAAAATCAGAGTGTAAGGTTGCGAATCGAACTTGTAATGCATAAATTAAACTATAAGGGCGACGCAAACTGCGCGATACACCGCTGGAGGCGGACTAGGACGTATGTTCGCGCTCATGCCGGATGTTGTCTTTTACTTCGCTCGCGCGTCTACTGTTCACGTTTACTGCCATGCCAGGGCGCCTTCGATGCATCGCACACAAGCTGCCTGGAAAAAGGCCTTTAGTTAATAGCTTTTGCGAAGTGAACCCGCACGTTCAAGGCTGTCCACTTCAGAATGAATATCACATCATGCATACATAAATACAATGTCTTGGTACAGCATATGTGGAAATGCGCTCTAGGCACTCTAACTGCAGAGTTTTCGCAAAGGCTCATCGCGTCTCCTATTATTCAGGTCGAGAGCACTGAACGGAAACACTACCTTAGGTTTGCTTGTCACTTTCTCCCTCTTCCAACCCGTCTACCTCGTCGGCGTTCTGCGCCGATTCCGCTTTCTCTGCATTCAGCGACACGTCCATGTGCTCGCCCGCCGAAGACGATGGGCTCGAAATAGAGGTCCCTTCTTCCTGCGAGGTTACCCCAGAGGCTTCGCTCTCCACCCTCCCGTCCTTGACCTCCTCCCTTTCTCCCTCGTCACCCGGTCCCAGCAAGAGAGGCTCCGCTTCGTACCGGTAGAGTTGCCCCACCCGGCCGTCGTCGTAGTTCAAGGTCAGTAACTCGTCGCCTTCTTCGTCGCGAATACTGCCTTGAATCGTCCCTTTTACTTCCTCCCAGCCTCCTCCTTTCCATCTTGGCCGCTTCTGCCGGAGCACCACCCGGCGCCCTATCAACTTATCCTCTTTCCAGGCGCGGTAGCCTGGCGACCGCTTGAACTCGTCGTAGAACCAGGCCACGATCCTCCTGACGCTTTTTCCCGGCAGACATTTCCGGTGGATGATATCGAAACAACGACGGTAGGCGTGCACGCCCTTATCAAAATCCGCGATCTCAGCCACGGACCACTCCCGTGCGGCGCTTGCCCGCCCGCCTCCCGTTGCGGCCACCACTCGCTCGAGACTGCCCTCCTCCCACCCAGAAGACCAGACGAGGACAGCCTCCTGCTCGGCCCCCGAAGCCTCGTCGCTGTGGGCCCCCGCCGCGCCTAAAGTGTCAACGCTCGAGGGCCGGGCGTCTGACAAGAGTCTAACGCCTTCACCCGGTGCCTCCTCATCCTTCCCTGTCCGGTGAAAAAGCATGTCATCGAGCAGGTCGGGGAGCACCGCCTGATACTCTGGCCCGATGCGTTCCCACGCACTGGCAAGCTCGCAACTGTCGCCTTCCCTCTCTGCAGCGGCTACATGTCCGCCTGTCGAGCTTCCCGCCTCGGGTCGAAGGGAGACTGATTGGTGGGGCGGCAGGGTGTTGGATTGCGACGCGGTGCCGGGAGAGGAAGCACTTTGGCCCATGGTAGGGGAGAAGAACATCTCGGACTCCCCTTTCTGCACAGCAGGGCCCGGGCGGGAGCTTACGCTGTCGGGGAGATGACGCAAGGCAGAGGAGACGGCATGCCCTCCTCGCTCCTGTCCACTCGTCGACGAGGACACCCCGGCACCCCGGCCGCACTCAAAGGCCCCTTTCTCCCCCACCGCAGTGGCTTCTCCGGACCGCATGATGGCCCTGGCCGGACCCGGGAGGCGTATGGCTCGGTCGGGTCGCCTCGGCAAAGAGGGTTCCCCCGATACGCCCGCCATGCCCTCCCACTCCCCGTCGTCCCCCTCCCCTCCGTAGCCTGTCCATCCCCCCTCTTCCCCCTTCCCGTTAAAACCCGTCAAAAAGCTCCCGTGCTTGTCCTCCCTGACTAGGATACTTTTGCTGCTGCGCGACGAGGAGATACTTCCCCTCCGAGGGATTCCCGGAGGTCCATGCACTTCCTCCACCGAGGGCCGCCGTGTCAAAGCCACGTCGCCTCTCTTCCCTCCTCTTGCTCCCCCTGCCCTACCTCCACTCAGGGAGGGCCCCTCGCTCGAGCTTTCACGGCTCAACAGACCGGCCACATGACA